CATATCATTAATAATTTTTAATTTTATTTAAAAAATTGTAAATACTTTTCAAAATTCCAGGCAAATTTGCCTAGAAAACAGTTGAAGGGATAGGGGCCCAAAAATTGAAAATAATTACAAATTGGGGCCCAAGTTAAAAGTAATTACAAATAAGAGCCCAAATTTTTTTAAAACTTATTAAGTAGTAGCCAAAACACAAATAAGTGTATTAATTATATTTAATATGTAATCGCAATAGAAATTTTATTATTAAAAATAAAAAAAATATGTATACATATATAATACGTAATCATTTGTAATTATGTTTGCTTTTACTTGCATCTTCAGTTACAGGTGCGTGAGTTATGACCTTTATCTCCGCACTTTCCACAAGAAATTTGATCTTCTGGTGCAGTTTTCCTATTACTATGTAACTGAGTTTTTTGTAGACACTCTGCTTGTTTAATTGTTTTGGGTGATAAAGTTTTATCATCCGGAAGATAATCTTTTATATCAACTGGCTAAACAGACTCCTTATAAATGATGCATAAAGTAGCAGTATGATATGTATAATAAATAAATTGTGATAGTTGTTGGTGTATTTTGAGAATTGCAGCACAAGCATGTATACATGAAAATCAATATTGTTGAAATTTTTTGCATATACAGATCATTAAGAAAAGATCTACAATGTGGAAGCTATTGTTATTATTTTTGACTTTAAAAACTGAATCACTAGCTTGATATACTATTCTTTTGCGACAGCTATCAATAACAGATTGAAGTTGCCGAGTAATAACATTGCTTGCATAGAGGAATATGTTGTATAACAATTAAAGTAAAATGCATTAACTCTGCAAATAAGTGAAATAATTGCTTCAAACGGTTCTGCAAGATGTTCATCATGCAACCAAGAATTAAATGACTCAGATATATTGAATGTAAGATGACCAAATCGGTTTTGAGGATATTTACTAAGTGTCTATGTTGTAGAAGGTATTTCTTTAAGATATATGGCAGCTTCTGCATGTATATCAGAGATTTCTTCCATAATTTCATCAAACTTTTCTATATGCAATGCTTTTGCCACAGCCCAAATTTTACCATCAAGCTTTGTTTTAAATTTTGTATTAATATTTTTTTCAATATGCTATATACAATAAGCATGAAAGGCATTAGGAAGTTTTAAGTAAACAGCATCTGAAATACTCTATTTGAATATTATATTATTATATAATTATAATAAATTGTATATAATAAATTAGTAAAGCAATACAAAATACTTTTTTGCGATCACTTATAATTACAGATTCATTTGTATTAATTAATGGAAGTACTATATTTAAATTTTCACAAAACTATGCCCAATTACTTGAATTTTCAACAGAGCCAATAGCAAATGCCACAGAGACAAGTTTACCATCACCTTCAATTATATTTGTACAAAAATATACTCCATTATAGCTTGATTTTAAATGATATGCATCGATAGTAAAAACAGGTTTACAGTATTCAGTAGCCTTAATCCATGGTAAAAAGCAAATAAATATACAAACAAATTGATTTTCATTGTTAACCTCAAATGAAGTAATGCTTTTAGGATTTGCTATAAGTAAATAGTCAAGCAGTGGTTTAATACATTGATAACTTCTATCTATTTCCTCTGATTTATGCTTTTTATTAGCAGCTTTACTTCTCCAAGCTGCTATATATGATACTTTAGCCCCTACTTCTAAGCAAACTCGATTTACAATATTACGAGGCTTAAGCACAGCTATATCTTGAATTAATGATGCAGCAAATTTAACAAGATATGATCCATGTGCTTTATATATCTCAGTGAATGTTGGACAATTTTGATTATGGTTGATTAATTTTACTATATGAATGTAATTATCTTTACATTTGTTGGCTGAAATGGTAAAAAGGCATTCGCTGGTTTCACTTGTAGGACAAATAGCAAGTAACTTGTTTGATTTGTTAGTTTTGAACTTATAAGGTAGTAAAAGCTCAACCAAATAGTTATCCAAAGCTAAGCGAACACTTGCTATATCAGTAAATATCTTGCCAAGATATAGTGTTGTATTTGGCATAGTAAATATTTAGAATGTAATAAATGTAATAGTGAAAATAAATAATAAGCGATTAAGTTAAAAGAAATAAAAAATAAGTATATTTTTTATTTTATATTTAGCCATATGATAATTATTAAATTACATTTCTTTATTTCTTATGCATGCAAAATTTTAAATCTCTTTTCATAAAAATTGGGCCCTTATTTATAATTACTTTTAACTTGGGCCCCAATTTGTAATTATTTTCGATTTTTGGACCTCTATATATAAATTTCCCAAAAAATTAACTGAATTATTATTTGGCGATTCACTAAGTTTTTGATTTTGATAATAAGCGATTATATAATAATGTGCATATTTTGCTAATGACAGAGATAATATATATCGATATTATTATTTTATTTTTGCACTTTAGATAAGCAAATTCTCAATTTTGGATATGTTAACATTGTAAATAATCTGATATTCCAAAATTTAAGAGAATAGTTGTAATGGTTCTAGGTTGAGTTCAGGTAGGTTCTAGTTAGTTCCAGGTCCATTTAAGACTCGATCCAGTTTTTTGAATTTGGTTCGAGTCTTCTCTAAAATCTGGTTCAAACCAGCCCGTAGAAACACTAAATCAGATATTATTAAATTTAACTAGATCTTTGTGGCAGTTAAGAATACTATTAATCATAGAAGTAGAATTAGTTTGAAGTTTAGAACATCTTTTGTTGATAGCGTCAGAAATTTGTTATCTAATTTCTTTGATATTTTTCATATTATGAGCATAAAAAAGATTTTTCCACTCTAAGTTAGTACTAGTAATCCAAAAAGTGAGAAGTAGGTGTGAACTTGGGAGTTGAGGAATGTATAATTTTGAGGATTAGTTAAGAGAAGAGATGGAGTTGTTAAGATGATGAGTAATAGGTAATTGGTGTTTTAGAGCATATTTAGTTTGTTGAATAATATTTCCAAGTTTTTTGAGGTTTGAGTGTAGGTAAGTATCTTTAGAAGAGAATATGTATTAAAAATTACAAACAATAAATTTTTTATTGGGGATATGTTTTAGAGCAGCTATAATTATACTAGTATAGATTTTATATTAAGTAGTTTTAAGAGATTCTGAAGTGTAAGTTAATGAAGGTATATGGTTGGAATTGAGATTGGTGTTGACTTGGTTTGAGAATTCTTCCCATTTTGTATCATTCATAGCTTTGTAATTAAAGACTCTTCTGTGAGTACATGTTTTATATCTGTGTTAGCCATGCAAAGCATGTGGGAAAGACTAGCAGAAAATAAGAATTTTATAATTACTTAGTGAATTGGTATCTATATCATCAGTATCAAAAGAGATAAGGTAAGTTAAAATAGTGTAACAGGCCCAAATAAAATCAATTTCGCTACTAGATTTAAAATTATATTATGTGGAAGCAAATGAAGAAGTATGCAAGCCAAGATTGTATATATTATTATATATAAGAAATTGGAGAAGTTTGTATTTGATAGAGAAGAAGAGGATGTTGTTAGCAAAGGCATTAAAGTCTTCAAGTACTATAGGGAGTATATTAAGAGCATAGGCATCTTTTATCTATTAGATTATTGTATTTTTGGTTTTAAGTCTAATTGAGCTATTATTATAAAGAAAATATATTGAGATAATACAAAATTTGAAGTCATGCTTAAAGAAGAAATCCATTAAAATAGCATAGCCTGGAATGGATTTAGTATTGTATATACAAGAGGTTAAGGAATTATGAATCATAATAGAGATTTTAGCTTTCGAGCTATCTATGCAGGATTGGAAATATGTATAATATGATATTTTAAGAGGCTTTAAAGTAAGTTAGTTGCTAGTTAGTTTAGTTTTAGTTAAGCAGATAATGTTAAGATTATTAGAGAGGCAATAATCTTTTTAGACTTGCTATTTAAAATTTTTGTTAAAACCTCAAATATTATATATATATAATGAAAGATTAAAAGGTAAAGAAGAGTTGTTATCAATCATAAGAGTTATAGGTATAAGATTTAAGAGAAATAAAAGGATTAAAATAGATAGTATCAAGATAAGGTACAATAACATGATCTGGTAGAGGGCAAGGCTCTTCTAGTGAATAAATATAAGCTTCACTATAGTCAGTTTTAACAGATATGACAATTTATTTATAGAGTTTGTCTCACAAACCAATTTTAAGTAAATGTAAAAAGAAAGAATTGAGTATTTGAGAAGCTTGAATCAGAGAAAAGTTTATAGATAGAAGAAATCGATTAAAGCAAGTAGATAAGTCATAAAATGTAAAGGCATTGTAATATGGATCTTATGAATATCTTCTACATTGTTACTTGCTGTATATCTGGCTTTTATAGTTTTGCAAGAATTAGAAGTACTCTGGTTAGGTGTTAGAATACTGTCGTTATCAGATTCTTTTAGTTAAATAAGCTTAACTACCTGCCCACTTACATTATTTTTCTTTTCAACTACAATGGAAGTATCTTTTGAAGAGATTGTGGCTGTATTAATGTAGTATGTAGAAGACAAGATTATTAAAAAAAAGACTCATTAAGAAATAATAAATCTTCAATGAGTATTGGAGCTTGGAAGTTTATATTATGTTTTTCATTAAGAATTTTTCTGCCTGAGGATAAGCTAATTGTTAATAGTATTGGATGAGTTTATTAAAAGAGAGTTGTTTGGGATAAAGTTTGAAGAATATAATAACTTTTGCTAAAAAGTCAGTACTAATTACTTTTTTAGTAATTTTGTTGATTGTATTCTCTTAAGTTAGGTTGTAGATTTGTAAATTATTAGCAGCTTTGATTTAATAAGCATTTAGGTATTGGAAAAAGAAACTATTACAGCATTTAGTAGATAAGTGTGTAAGATGATTAGTGCAGTTTGGGGTGGCTGATACTTTGAAAACCATCCCAACCTAGTTACCAAGGTCTTTAACATTCTATTCTCTGATCTTGAATATGTGGAAGACTAAATGGTTGTGTTTTACAAACAGTTTTTGGTAAAGTACATATTACTATATACAGTTAACAATATTAGACTATATAATTCTACTATTTATATGTCTAGCCTAACCCTTATATGGATTTATCTTGTGTTTACACCAACTAAACTAGTTTGTATTTCTTCAACCCTTATTACGAACTATTTTTCAAGGATTAGAGTTTAGAGTTAGTATAGGATAAAATTGTAAAAGAAATATAAATTAATACTTATTTTTTATATGTTTTTATTTTATCTATTTTTTTTAATTTTTTATATATTTTTAAATTTTTTTTTTTTTTGTATATTTTTTACATTTTATTTAATTATTTTTTTATCTATTTTTTTTAATTTTTTTATACATTTTTAAATTATTTTTTAAATTATTTTTTATTTTTTATATGTTTTATTAAATTATTTTTATTTATTTATTTATTTTTAATTTACAGTAATATTAATTTATTTTTTTA